CATAAAACTTTGAGCAAATAACTTGATGCTTTGCAATGATTTTAGATCATACTCATATTCGAGTAAAATTGCTTAAAGTTTAGATGAAAATGTAGAGTAAGATAAGCATCAATGAAGATTTAACTAGTCATATATGATATAAATGTGAGAGTGAAATTAGATTAGATGACGAATATGGGTGTAGTGTGAATGGTATTGATGTATTACTGTGCTGTATCATACGGAACTTAAATTACAACGAAATCGAGACCTTTATAAAAAGATTTCGTATGCACCTAGCACAGTTTCAAACAGCCTGTCAATGATCTAGGAAACTTCTTTAATCGTTTCAAATTCGTTACAATTTTCGAAATCCTTTTCATGTTCAGTATCGTAGTGTATATGAAATCCTCTATGGTTCTGTATGGAACCTTTGTTTTTTTCAATGCATGAATATTTATCATAACTGTATTCATTTCACATACTCACACAGACATCATTCACAACTATCTAACTATATATTCTTGCTTATTATTTTCAATGGTGTCAAGCTTGAGAATTGACTTTCATTGAACAATTATTTTTCAAATTTCAATCGTCTATCATGAAACATCTCAATATCTTCCTGATAATCTTAAAAAATATATAGATTTGACGAACATTTAAATCACTTTCTATTCCTACTTGAATGTGACTATCTGTTTATTTTCGTGATATTATCATCATCAAAAGAAAATCGGTGTGTCTTTTAAAGTTGAAAGTTGAATTCAATTCAACTTTCACGTTCGATATATATGATCATTCTCTACATGTATAGTTTCTCTTATGAAATGTAATGTTTTCATAGCAACATGCTATTTGCAATACTATATTCTTAGTAAGATAGTAAAAATGGTGATCTTTTTTTCTATTAGGATAAAGCTAACAAGGCAAAATGAACAATGTACCTTATCTTCTTGGATATCTTTTGTTTGACGATCGATGTCTTTGTTGAATCTTGAAAAAAAAATTAGAATACATAGATAATTATTTGATCTTCGACGCTTAGTTCAATGTATAACTTACTTTGTCTCCAAAGATTCTAAGGTTACTTCAGTTGGTAAGTGATCGTAGTCTTTAACAAATATTTTTGATTTCCAATATTTTTCAGCACATTCTCTTTCGAAGTTTATCTGATATAAATAGTCTTCGCGATTATCTTCGTCTGATTTGTCTAAAATAAATGGATGACTATCAAGTCAGAAAAGTATGTCTAATCTTTTACCAGTCGTATTCGGAAAATGCTTGGTGTATATTTTGAAGCATGCTGGATAGATTATGTAGCATATTAGATGGCAGATTATACTCAATGGAGGGGGCAATATGGTCTTTTCCTTGCATTCATGAACCAGCCAGAATCGCTGATACCGCCAGAATATTTTAGATTTTGTAAGTACACGTCCAATTGTCTCACTACGCAGTATGATATCAAAATCATTAAAAAATATTGAAAACCTCTATTTATTCTGCACTCACTTAAACATTGCAATGAGAATATTCAAAAGAAGTATATTTGATATTACTACGAAGGCAATGGCATATAAGAATACAAACGTACCATAGGCACCACTATCTAGAGAAAATAAGAATGCATTTGTCTTTTCTCATTTGTAGTAATGAAAGTATGTTAATGTGTTAGTACCGCTGATTACATCCATATCGGTGGCATTATTTTTATATGGTTCGGCTATTTGTCCAAATACTTTCCAAATACCCCAGTTAAATACATTTCGCAATAATTGCCAATTCCATAGTTTTTGTTCTTCACTTTCTAATATAACATTGATCATCGAACCATTAGTTGTATACAACCAGTTAATTTGGTTTTTGGTAGACAATAGAGACCAGGAAGTAATCGAAAATGCGAATAGAAAAATAAGTATAAAACACACAAAGATCAAAAGAGTATCTTTCAACTATAACAAAAGATAATTAGAGAATTGAATATTATTCTTAAATATGATATCCTGACCATTTTATAGATCATAACCAGTTTTGGCCCTAGCACTTTGTATGCAGCACAGAAATACAGTATTCGTATGCACCAAATAATAAAATCGATTGTCATGAGTATTCTAAATGAAGATCAGATTAGAATACATTTGACTCATCATTATTTACATCGTCAATACAATTGAAAACATTACTTGATCATATATCTCTACGTCACCATTTAAGTGATTCTATCGTATCTCACATTTTCATTTTGTAGGCTTGATGAATACAAATTCTACATTGTATTTATACATTGTAAGCATATAATTTTTTACTCCCATCCGAAGAAATATGTAGGTATTCAGCGACTCAACTACTTGAACAACGATATAGTTTTACAAAGAAATATTGAGTAGTTTCTAATTTTTGCTACTATCAATCGATTGTCGGTCATACTTATTGATTGAATAGTCACTGAAAATCATTGAGAATTATTAAAAATCAAGGGATTTTAACAGTCGTTCTAGAATAACTTTGAAGAAAATGTTATGTCATTTGATTTTCTTTTTTATAGCTCACTCGTGAAAATCTGGCTAGTAGTTTTACTGTTAAGATGATGAACGAAGAGATATGTACGATGTTGACTAGAACTTTTCTATATTGAATTGCAAACTGAAAAAATTAGTATTCTTCAGATGTTAATTGAAACATTGTTTATTATCGTTTAAATGAAAACTAAATAATTCAATCAGAGAGATATCATTGACTATTTTATACTTTCTAGGAGATTTTTATTTAGAATTGCCTAGTTTGATTCTATCTATCTGTACATACAATCGGATAGATCGATCACAAAAGTAAATGATCGAATTCTAGTCAAAATTTCAGTTTTTTCAACTTTGCGATCGAGACTTGACCCTTTACTTTCATGATTAGTATGTCCGATTGTAAACACGATTAGATGAAATCAAACTAAACAATTCTCAATAAAAATCTGTTAGAGATTGTTGCAAGAGAACTTGGTATTTAAAGATTTTTCGATTAGTAGCATTTTGAAAGACTATCATTTCTGCACTATTCTTTGAAAAATGTATAATATAATTCACTTTCATGTCAAAAATTTTATTATCTTCTAAAGTCGCTTGACTAAGAATCAACTAAAAAGATGAAGATCTGACTCTTCTTAAACTATTTCATGAATCTTCATAAATCATACATACAAAGAGAAATTTCATCTTAAAAATAATTATTGTTTACAATTTTGCGACTATTTCGTCTCTTTTTTTTTCTGTTTCTAGTAGAAAAAAAAAATTTCTAGGAAAAATATTGAATATTACTGATCGATTTTGATGCATAAATAAACTTTGAAACAATAGAATTCATGAAAATATTGAAAATTTTTCATTTCATACATAGCATGAGAATTAGAAAAGCATAAAAGTTAATCTGACCTAGATTTTATGTTTTTCTTTTTGACTTTATACTATTAGATGAGATTAGTAGAAATCAATATTAATTATAACTGAAATTAAAACATACTTACTGATATAAGTTACGATTGACTTATTTAGGAGCAGCTATAAAAATTAAAAAATTATGCTTGAACTCAATGGAGTATTTTATTTTTTTTGTTGATGATTTGTCATAAAATTTGAATGTGAGATCAGAAGTGCTTGAAACATAAGATTTCGGATAATCTTTCGAAATTCAAAACGAAGAGGAAATCGTAATGACTCACGAATCTGAAGAAAAATGCACTGAATTTTCAAGTTTTTGTAATAACACAATTTGCCTATCCATTATCTGATTTCAAAAAAGACAAATCGTAGAAACTCAATGTTAATATACTCTGAATCAAGATTCTTTTTGGATTTTCTCTTCTCTCTATTACATTATCCAATTTCAATTGAATTCTAAGTGATGTTTCCAGTTTTAGAATTGGTCGAAATTGGTATTGTTGTGTTTATAGAAAGATTTTTCATCTTGCGCGAACCTTTAGTTTTCCTTTTATAAGCAAAATTATACATCTACTTTAATCCTCTTTTTCTTTTATAAAGACTGGCAGTGAAATGCTAGAGAAATATTCTTTCTATTTGTAATTCCATACTATTCGATTACAAAAAAAGCAAACAAGAATATTTTACTTTGATGCTATAAACCAGGATTCGTCAAAAATCCAACGGAAACTGAATGCAAGTATATAAAAGAAGATCCCGACTAGATCTATCCAATTCCAACCACTGCTGAAATAGATATGAATCAATCCTCTTAATTTGTATTGAATAATCTATTAGTAGAAAAAGAAGATTGTTGAAAAATATTAATATCAATATCATAAAATTTTCACCTGATTGATTTCATCAACAATAAAATTCCAAAGATAAATATGTAAGACAATTTCTGAGATCGGAATCCGTAAATCACGAATACCAGAACGCTTTTCATCACCACGATTTAATGGAAAATAGTCGACAAGAAGAACATAACTGAATAGAATCAGGAATATGAAGAAGAAAGTCTAAATTTGGAATTTAATAACAGTGTTTCAAAGCATAGAATAGAATAATATAAGAAAAATACTGACAAGATGATAGTGAAATCGTACTACTGGAGCTTCGTAAAAGTATTTAATTCTGTTCCACATGGAATATTGGTAATCAGCCGATTTTACTCTATAACTTTCAAGAGCACTTTCATTCGTCGTGTTTGAAGAGGAATCTCCTTGGACCTTCTTCTTATATAGTAATCTGAAAAAAAAAATGATTTAAAATTGAAAATCGAAATTAGAGAAAAAAAAATACAACTAACATCTGTTTAGAGGATAATCTCGGACGACATTGAATTGGATTATGTATTTCCTACATGAAGATAGAATATATAAGAATGATTCACAAAGTTTTTTTCTTTTTCATACTGTCGACTTGGTAGATTGTTCCTTGTAGAGAAAAGGAAAAATCAAAGGTGCAATTGGCAAAAGAGGTAAAATCAAAGATGCAAACCAGACCTAAATAAATTATCGAACAAATTACAAAGTTAATCTACAATTATCATTGACCAACCCAAATAGAAATATGCATTTTCAAGAATTGACGTTGATCATCAAAACGATGATACCACTTTTGACTGATATATTTTTGAACCGTATCACTGGCGAGAAATGCTTTACAATTAGCATGACGTGCTATATCCAATGGAAAGCAACCAAAGAATGCCTTAGCTTTACTTTTTAGTATATTGATGGCAAGATTATTGTCTTTAGCAAAACATTCATCGATGATATCTTTAGAATGTTCGTGAAATTCTCTGTTTTCATTAATAATAAGCAAATAAAATATACATGTAACACAACATATTAAATAAAAGAAAATGAACTTTTCTTACTTTGCAATTCGTATAAAAGAATTTTTATTTTTCGTATCTTTTTTCGCTGCTCTAGAATAAATTCCGACTGCAAGAAGAGAGGCAACGGTTTGATTCTGATAAATAAATATATAATGTATATAGAAAGAAAATTCGATATGAAATTAGTTTATGTTTTACTTGACATTTTAAACAAATAAATTTGGCCATTTCTGGTCGATTCATAAATAAAAACCACAGATAAAGTGTTTCGATCATATTTAGACTGAAAAGATCCCTAGCTTCATTACTACTCTGATGGGCCAAGACTACATTTGATTGATGTTTTATTTGAATTTCTGTTTTTTGAATCTAAATCATCGATATGATCAGTATAATGTGTAAATATTCATCGATATTAAATGCTTACATAGTCTTCTAAATATTGCTGGCAATAGTCTTTGTATATATCATCTACCAAATTCGAAGGTATCTTATTAATATTTGTATTAGTGGGTTTTGTACGATCGAGAGGTAATGGATTGTTATTCTTAATAAAGATTAATATAAATTTAATGACAAAAAAGATGAAGATATGTTCAGATTTAAAAGAAAAAACAAACAAGAATTGTGTAAGGATTTAAATCAAACATAATTCTTAATCAAATTACTCAAAGAAATTTTTCAATTGAACTCAAAATATACTTGTATCAATCTTCACTCATATTACTATCAGAACTACATATATATATATGAGGAGATTATAGGAATTTTATATATATATTGATGTTGTTTGTGAATAATATTGATATTTTCGAGAGTTCGGCTGCGCCCGGGTAAATTTTTCCTAATTTGAACGATTTCTGAAAGATGCTTTTCTGCTCAAGAAATTTTTGTTTTTTTAGAAATCGGAGTATTACTAAAAAGCACATGGAGCCATATATATATATATATGCAATAAGATCGATTTACCAGTATTCTTGCACAAAATATTTTGAATTCATTTTGTGTTAATTGTTCTATGTTAAGATCTTCGATTGATGCACCATTTTGTATCATTAAATTTATGAAATCTACATTATTTCGACACATAGCTTCAAAAAGTACTTTTGATGCTACACTTTTTATCTAAACAAAAACAAAATAAGTTTACATTTGAAAGTAAAAGTATATATAGCCAGTCGGTGTTGTTTTAAAATTAGTATTAAAACCTGTCATAGAGAACATTTCGTGATATATAATGAAGCAGTTTCTATTGAAAAAACATTCTGTCTATACTATCATTCTACGTAAGATGCATATTTTATCAAACTTAAAAGAATATGTTTCTATAGTGAACATTTTCATGAGCTTATTCAGATAGAAATCTTTCGACAATGAATAATATCGAGCGACTGAGGGAGAAAGAGAATATTGAATATTATCTGTATAATTGGAAATATTAATAAAAAAAAGAAAAGAGACTGGTATTTTTGCATTATTGCATAGTCTATCCAATAAATATATTCCTAGACAATCTCAAATTAGAATCCTTAGGTCAATTATTTAATATTGATGTTCGTAAAAATACTATTTTTCACTATTATTTAACAATTAATCATTATTTTTGGATTCCAAAACAAAATGAGATTTCTTTTTCACAAAATGTTATAATTAATCATATCAAATTAGAAACAGTCCGTCGTTGTTTTTTTTTCTTGAAAATGACACAGTTCAATATAACTCAGAAATGTATCTTATAGATTTAGCTTTTTCTTTTTGTCTTCTTTTTGAATGAATATCAAATGTTTGATTGATTTTATGTAAGTCATTCAGATTCTGTTCGTTCATGTGCGTTAGTTGAGAAAAGTTTCGTTGAATTATAAAATGTACTCACGAATTCTCGCTTTGTTCCTGAAAATCTCCTATTTTTAAATACATGATCAGCGAATAATTTCTGTCTTGCATGATCGACTTTGTTCCACATCTAAAAAAAAAACCAGTTCACACAAGACATTTGATATTAATTTTCCATTAAATCCAAAAACAGAAAATCTTACTAAACACCATTCCAATTCCTTTGTCAGTGATTCATAATTGTAAATAAAGTTTTTTTCTCGTGGCAAATATATTGTTTTTAGCATAGCATCAGCAATCGCATCTTCCAGATTATTTTTGATCTTGGTAGATTCAAACAAGACAATGGGTTGGTTATTTCTGGCTAGTAAATCGATGAATTTGTCAATATATTTAATGTATTCCTGATGTTCACGATCATTGATTACATTAGACTTGAAGTCTTTTTCGGCTAATTCTTTTAACATACGATTGTAACGTTCAAGACCGAGTGTAGATTTTATTTCAGATTCTTTTACATTCTCATTAGTTTCTGTATCAATTAAAGTCGTGTCATCGGCAATATAAGCAATTTTATCAGCAAGTCCACCAGTGCCCTACATAAAATATAATTTATTAAATAATTGATATTTTGTGATCATCATCTGATACTAAGAGAGATATGACATGTTCTCAATACACATCGGGCAATTTCACAATAAACTATATAATATATCGAGAGTGAACAAATGCTGAATATAAACTATTTTTATATAAAATATTTCGATTTATTATTTTCATTAACTTACATAATTCATTTAAAGCAATTTTAAAAAGTATTTAAGACACAAAAGAAATAGAAAATTATCAGATAAATTTTTTTGAAAATGATTCAAAGATGAAGAATATACATATTTATACTATTTTCATGGAAGATTATCATGGATTTAATAAAAAAAAACTAACATCAGTATATGAGATATACATATTCGTTGTATTTCGAGATATCAACTTGAAAATTGAAGAATATATCAATGACATAATTACTAAAATATTTTTAGTAAAAATATTTGAAATTCAAAAGATTGGTTGATTTCTTTAAATATAACGATGATTTAGTACATTTCTTTATCTATTTAAAGAATACTATAGAGAAGGTTTTCTTAGACGAATTAGTTTCCAAGTAAATAAAACTATGAGCTTTAGAGTTTTGTGAACTATACAATATATCCTCGAACATATATTTAACTATAAAAGTTTCATAATAGAAAGTTTACTCAGAAAATATTATCAAAAGTTCTTATGAGTACAAATAACGAAAAATTCTCAATTATATCCAAGATAATTAATTTTAGAAAGTATTTAAATATTATTTCGATGATTGTGATACATCGAATGTTTCATAAGTTTTAAATCTTGACAAAATTTGTTTATATGTACAAAAAAAGATGATATCGAACTGATTGTATCTATATAAGATTTGAATAACTCTTGTTGATACTTCAAATAATATAATATTGTATGATATATTTTCTTGTGATAATAGTAGCATAGATATAAGCTTGTAATGATCAAAATTTCGAAATTGATTAAAAAATCATTTTGGTCAAATTTGAATTACAATGAAAGTTTAATAAAATAAAAGTAACGAATAATGATTGATTAGGTTCTTAAAAGACTTTGTGAAATAATAAAACTTATTATTTTTATTATCAAAAATATATAAGTCCCTAACGTACTTCTTTTAAAGGATTAAAATGTGAAAAATGATAATGTTTCTTTAAACATTATGGACAAATCTAGTTGTCACATCTAATATCATTTGTTACAGTAAAACAAAAAGCTAAAATGCTAATAAATCAACGAAACCATGATATATCTATCGAGAATTTACTCTAGCTTCATTTACAGATCGTAATAAATGTATGAATTTGTATGTGACATTTTTAAAGTATGCAGAAACGAAAGATATTTACTTTTCTCATTATATATATTTAATACTCATTAACAATCACTTTTCACACAATTCTATTGAGCAATGTCGAAAAACTGATCATCATATTCGCACGTTAATGTTATTATGATATTGAGATGGTGCATTATATAATATTATGTCATTTGAGATCTTCCTCAAAAAAAGTCACTTTTCGTCAGAATAATTGAAATTAAGATAAATGTATAAGAAGATAGTTTATAATTTGATTTTTCATAAACAACAAAAATTTTTTGAAGATTTCTGTTGATCCCTATTCGCAAAAATAAGCTATTTTTAGAAAAAAAGAAAAAATCTTTTGTCATTTTTTCTCACTTTATAGTTTCTTGAGCGTGCAAATTAAATTTCTCTGTCGATACTCATTTAATATATATTTTTTCTAATGGTTGAAAGAGTGCGTTCAAACACAGTGCAGTACAGAACACTTTTTTTATTATATATATGAACATCTAGTTTTTAAGGGTTTTTTAAGTCATTGAACTTCCGATCCCTTTTTTTTCTCTTAAAAAGTTCAGTATTTAAAAAAAAACGGCTTTGTACTACACTTCATTCTGAGATATTCTTTCAAACAAAAAAAAATTAAGTCTTTATAATGAACTTGAACAGAGAACATTGATTTGCCAAATGAACTATTTTCGACTTAATATATTCTGAAAATTTCATGCCATTTGAACATTCCTGGGTCGAGATCGATTTTTGAGGGAACCTTAAAATATTGACCGCGATACTCATAGTTTATACAGATATACCCAATTAGAGATCGTTATCTGTATGAATATAATAGTTATTTTTTTGTCGAAGACCCAAAACTTATTAAACGGGATGCATTGTTAAATGTATCGAGTGCTCTATACTCTACATATGATATGAAGAATCTTTTTATTCATAATTTCTTAATTTTTCTTTTTTTTTGTTATAATCCTCAATGTTACAAGAATTCTATTAGAAATCATCAGTGATGACTTTTTCATGAACAAGAATATACTTATGCAAACTATCGGAAAAAATGTATAGAAGACTTTTGACAGTACCAAAATTGATGAGTTTAATTTCTACCTCATAAGAAAATCTAAACAAAAAAAAAGTTTTCATGTTTGTAAGTTGATTTCTTTATATCAGTTTTTCAATTCAATTGTAATCGAACTAGTTTAAAATATTTTCTATAAGTTTTGTTTCAATACTTTTCACAAGAATTCTTTTGAATTTAAGAAAGATATAAAATGTCTTGGAAGTTTTGCTTCGATAGTCACGAAAGATTGTACTTATAAATTATTTTACTTTTTCAAAAAACTAAATTGATAAATCGTAAATAAAGATTTATTAAATGTATCTTGATGTGCGCTAAAATGTATAAAAAGTCAGAATTTCTCTTTCAAAAATTATTTCACATTTGACTACAGAGTTAGTAATGTAACATGAATTACAATATACTGTTAGAATAGCAAACAAATAAAATGAGACTTCGCCATAAGTTTTCTTTTTTATCAACTATATGTTCTGTATTTTGAAGTATTTTTTTTTTTATTCACATGAGAGATTTAAGTGATAGAAATTCATACTCGAACAACGACGATAGGTGTTTGATTGTCTAAATATCCAAGTAAAGCACGTAATGTTGTAAAATTACCACCGAGTAGTAACACAACTTTTGGAATATTATTCCAATATTCTAGAAATTATATTATAGATTTTTGATGAAGATTGTTAATAAAAGCTTTTCTTATACATACTATTGTCTTGCTCATAGATACTTATGCTTGACTTTGATAAGAGACTAAGTTCGTTTTCAATATCTTGACGTTTGTTGATAATATTATTCGAATCAGTAGTGCTGATACTGTCGAAGAAAAGAAAATGACTGTGATTTGATGCCCATTTATCTTTGTTTTTGTGAACATAAATGTGAGATTGCTGCCTTGATATCTGATAAAATCAAAGTAGTCAGACTTATATAGAAGTAAATTTTTCTCTCTTATCTAATAATACTTACTAAAGGTATCAATTCAGTAGGTGTGTCGGCAGTTAAACAACTAGCCGTTACTCCACTATTGAAAATTCGTGGACATTTCTGAGAGAGCCAGGATGAAGGTTCTTCTATTTCATTGTCTTGACTAGCACGTCCCTCCTCAAGGTTACCTGCTTCGTCAGTACTCTGAATTGAATGCGACGCTTCGTTACTGTTTTGAGTTAAAGGCAGCAATTCTACTAACTGATTGTGGCCTGAATAATAACAAAATAATACTATGCCGAAAATAGTCAGCTAATATTTATATTAAACATACTTTCTTCATATGACCAGTTGCACAAACCGATACAAGGAACATCATAGCCAATGACGTCATCACGCAATCCTTCACCTACTAGTCGATTTATAATATTATTAATGCCATTTGTTATAATCCATGCATCTAAATGTTCGAAGATATAGATAGTATGTATATGAAATATTCTTAAATTATTTACTTGTTATCTTTATCGTTTCAACTAAACCATGTTGAATGGCACGCACTAATTCTCCTTCGAGTTTAAACGTTTCACAGGGTGAATTCTGAATATTCAAATAATCTGTTTGGATTGAGAGAATGAGATGAGGAGGAGGAAGTTGATAAGCTTCAACAATGAATCGTGACACTGCAAATGATTCTGTAGTGTTATAAAGCCAAATAAACTAAAAAGATAAGAAGCATATGATACATTTTGTATGTATTGACTTAATCTAGTTACGTAGATGAGGAATTTGTTTTGCCGAAATTACCACAATAAAAATATTTACTTCAAAAAGAAACCCTAATTCAAGTATCAGGAATAGTTTCTTCTAAGAAAAGGATCTAGTCGAAAATCATGAATTTTTTCGCAGTCTGGAAACAGTATAAAATGAAAGTATTTTAACAGTAAACAACTGCTGTAATGTCCGTTTCTTCAAATCTGATCCCTTCTGTAGACAAAAAATTTCAAAATATCAGAATTCTCAGTGTTCTCTTGAAAAAAAAATTAGACAAATAATAGGAGATCATTGTCAGGTGCTCATTCATTTTTGAGTCGAGACTTTGCACATCTTGTAGAACTTGATGAATTATGCTTACTATAAAAAAATTTTGTATCTCTAATTTGTTTCTGAGGAGATCGAACATCTCTACCATTACAATAATGAGAAACATCCTATCAGAAAAAAATTATTATCGCGTCCAATATAAATTGAAATGAGCTGAGATTTTCCTTATGTGTATTGGTACTCATGTTGTAGATCATGAGAAAGTTTGAACCTAAATGATCATATAAAGACAAGTCATCTGAAATATTAACATAATTTTTAATGCTATTAATCATATGTACTGCATCAGTTCATTTCTTTTCATTGGTCATGCTTTATGACTTGCATATGGAAGAAGTATTGGTATATTTAACTAACAATATAGGTATTGCTACGGACGTCTAGATAGACGAAAAAACTAAATACATTATGATGACAAGTTATCGTTATCAAGTATCTGAAATAGTATTATGACATTAGCGTTCACTATTCAAACAGTTTCAATTCTTGTCTCTCTTAATTTTGAGAAGTAGTATAATTAATGGCATTGATATTTGAGATAATTCATCTTTACAAGATTATTTGGACTTAAACTTTCTCATGATCTACGACATGAGTATTACTATACATAAAGAAAGTCTCAGTTTATTTCAATTTATATTGGTTATGATAATGATTTTTTCTGAAAGGATGTCTTTTATGATTGTAATGATAGAGATGTTCAATCTTCTCAAAAATAAACTAGGGACACCAAATTTTTTTTTATAATTATTTGTCTAATTATTTGTTTTTCAAGAGAACACAGAGAGTTCTGATATTTCGAAATGTTTTGCCTACAAAACGGATCAGATTTGAAGAAACGAACATCATAGCAATTGTATACTGTTAAGCTACTTTCATTTTATACTGTTTCCAGACCAAGAAAAAATCCAGGATTTTTGTCCAGATCCTTTTCGGATGCACTATAGTATAATCTTGTGAATATAATTGAAGGTCGTACAATTTACCTGTGATAA